CCAGCGTACTCACCAGACATAGCGCCTTCTGATTACCACTTGTTCAGATCGATGCAGCACGGCTTGAGTGGTACACGCTTCCGAAATGTTGAAGAAGTGCGAGAATGGGTGGACGAATGGATTGCTTCGAAACAAACATCGTTTTATCGAGATGGTATCGCCCAGTTGCCAGAAAGATGGCAAAAAGTTGTAGAAAGTGATGGAAAATACTTTCATTGAAATAATTTAAATAAATTTTTTACAATAAATGCTTTTTCTCAGTATTTTTTGGGCGGAAACTAAGTTAAGGTCCTAATAGATATGGAGATTCAAATGTAACGAGAAGCTCTGGGGGGCTTAGTGGGAGAGAGGTGGAAAAGTTAAAAAAGATAGTAGTAGATAAAGAAAGGGAAGAAAGAAGAAGTAACATAGCTATAAAGGGATGGGGAATAAGGGGAGAAGGTAAAGGGAGTAAGGAGGAAATAGAAAAATTTTTGAAAGAAAAATTAGAGATAGAGTGTAAGGTTGTGAGGGGTAGATGGAGTGGAGGAGTATATATAGCAAAAATGGAAAATGAAGAAAAGAAAAGAGAAATAATGGAAAAGAAAAGTAAATTGAGAGGGGAGAATGTATTTATTGAGCATGATTTAAGCTGGGAGGATAGGAAAAGACAAGAAAGAATAGGAGTCTGGGCAAGAGAGAATAGAAGAAAAGGTATGGAGGTAAAGGTAGGATTTGGTAAAGTAAGGATTAATGAGAGATGGATGAATTGGGAGGAGGTAATGGAGAGGGAAGGAAGGGGAGAAAAAATAGGGGAGGGGATAAGGGGGAAGAGAGGAGAGAGAGCAAGAAAAGGAGGATTTTTAACAAGCCAAGAAGAAGAGGAGGTAGGAGATGAGAAAAAGAAAAAGGAGGGGAGGAGGGATAAAGGAGAAGATAAAGGTAGGGTAAAAGAAGTAGGGGATGGAAAGGAAAGGAAGATTATGTTTTGGAATTGTGCAGGAATTGGTAATAAAGACAGGGAATTTTGGGAGTATATAGGGAAGTATGATTTTGTGAGCTTGATGGAGACATGGGTGGATGATAAAGGGTGGGAAAGGATAAGGGAAAGGCTATCAGTGTCACATCAGTGGGAATATAGTAGGGCAGTGAGAGAGAAAAGGAAAGGGAGGGCGATGGGAGAGATGATTATAGGAATAAGGAAAGGATGGGGGAGAAGGAAGGAAAGTTAATTAAAAAAAGGGAGGAAGGGATAATTATGTCAGAAATAAAAGAGAAAGGAGAGGTGGTAATAGTTATATCCATATATAATAAGGGAGGATGGAAAAGGTTGGAAGAGAGTTTGAATAGGATGGTGGAGGATGGAGAAAATGGGAAAATAATAATAGGAGGGGATTTTAATATTAGGATAGGAGAGTTAAAGAACAATGAAATGGTGGGAGAAGGAGATGGTAGAAGAAGTAAGGATAAAATTATAGGAAAGGATGGGAGGAGATTAATAGAATGGGTGCAAGAAAAAGGATGGTATGTATTAAATGGAGATTATAAAGGGGATTGGGAAGGAGAATTTACATATGTAGGCGCCAGAGGAAATACAGTGATAGATTATATAATTGTAAGTGAGGAAATGTATTGTAAGACAAAAGACTTTGTAATTGGATGTAGAATAGAGTCGGATCATATGCCACTGGAATTAAGAATAGAGGAAAAGGATGAAGAAGGAAGAGCAACAGAAGGAGGAAAGGAAGAGAACAAGGAAGGAGGAGGAGAGAAGGAATTTATAAGTTGGAAGGAGGAGGATAGGGAGAAATTTAAAGAGGAAACTGAGGATTTCGTGCTGGAAGAATGTCAAAATACAGTGGAGAAGAAATGGGAAGGAATTAAAGAGAAGATACTAGGAACGATGGTGAGGAAAAAGATGAAGATAAGAAGGTGGAAATTGGGGGATAAGGATTGGTGGGATAATGAATGTAAAAGAGAGAAGAGGCAAATGCCGTATCCATTTGCAACGTGTCCAATTGTACTGTGTCCAAGTGCACCGCTCCCAACACCATCCACTACGCCGAAGAAGGGACAATCGGCCAGCTCCTCGGCGCGGGCACCAGCCCATACGCCTAAGAGCAAGGGGCTAAGACAACGCCTAAACCAACTCTTCGGGGACAGCTCCCCAGAGACCCAGGCAGCCAAGGCAGAGGCAAGGAGACCGTCAGGTCGATCACCACGACCGCGGACACCCTCACCAACACGGGCTGGGACGCCTTCCCCGCTCTCGTGGGAACCTCCCTCAGCGCCCGCGTCAGCGGCAACTAACGTCGTCGTCCCCACGCAGTGGAAGCTCCACCACGTCTGGCTCCCGCAGCAGACGTTAACTCGCCCTAGAGCGGCTCCTCTGGCTCGCGGCGACATTCGGGTCCGACGACCCATATCACCACGTCACACGAGCGGACACGAGAACAAGGAGAATAGGACGCCGGACTCTGGTTGTCCCCAGCGGAGAAAAACGCGTCACCCCCCTAGCAAGGGACTGAACGCGGCGGCTCGACGAGCCATAAGGCGGCGGGAACAATTCCCAAAAACACACACATACACTCCCACACACACATCCATGTAACACACATAAATAAAAATGTTTCTTGTTAAATAAAAACTAAAAGAAACAGCGAGTGTCATTTCACCCTCCCCGCGAGCGACCGATCACGCCATTATAAAAGAGGCAACAGCCACCCAAATATAATATTATAATTTTCACTTTTTTTTTACTTTTTTTATTTATCTTTTTCTACATATTTCATTAACTAAATTTTAATATTATTAGTAAATAATCTTAACCTAATCTTTATACAATGAACTTAATACTTACTTAACTTAATACAATGAACTTAATCTAATCTTAAGAATACAATAATTTCTTTCAGATGCTGATTTTTTGTTGAAATATGTTGCAAATTCCACAACTGTACCAGAATTGGTTTCAGTTTTAGAAACTGAAACCAATTCTCAAACTACAAACGATACATTTACTGGTATGTAAATTATCTTTGCTTTATTTATTATTTAAAAATTGAATGTATATTGAAAAAAATAAAATAATTAAGTAGTTCAATTAAATAATAAATAATAAAACAAAATATCTTATCACTATGTTTATAATTGTAGAATCTGAAACTAAAAACTTTGTATGGACTAAGCAAGCAACAAAACTATTTTTGAATTGTTATTTGGATCGTAAAGAGAATTTCCGGAACCCAAAAGTGAAAAAGAAAGATCTTTATGGGCAGAAAATTCTTCAAATTATGAAAGAAAATGGTTATATTGGTTTAAACGAAGATGTACTTGATAGAAAAATGCGTAACATGAAAAAATCATATAAAAACATAAAAGATAATAATAAGAAAAGGAACACTGGTCGAGGACGAGTTTCATGGGAGTACTTTGACATTTTTGAAGATATATTTGCCAATGACTTGACGATTAATTGCGCTTCGACACTTTCATCGATGCAAAAAGACATAGCGAGTGACTCTATTGAAGATGATCACGAAGTAACTATTTTAATGATGTATTACCAGAGACTTGTCTCAATTCGCCTTCTACATCCACTACTTCCTCAATAACATCACATCACATTTCTGATCTCAAATCAACAAAAAACAAAAGGTCTTTATATAATCAAAGAAAAAAACAAATAGAAATAGAGCAAAAGAGTACAAGCAATTTGTGACCTGAAAGAATCTTTAAACGAAAGTAACAAAATTCAAAAAGAACGAAATGATTTAATAAAACAATTAATTATATTACTTCATGAAGAAAGAAAATAAAATTATTCTTTATGTAAAAGAGAAGAGAGAATTGGAGACTTAAAAGTAAAATTATATCTTTTTTTTGTTAATAACTTTCAAATCCATTCTCTTTTTATTAATTATGAATATAATTTATCCTATGTTATTTCTAAAATTTTTTTCAAAGTTATATTTATTTTGTTAAAAGTAAAATATATTTATTTTTCGTTTTTTATTTTAAATATGTTATTAAATATATTATAACATAAATAATTATTTCACTTGCTATAATAATGGAAAATAATAATAGAAAATATTTATGTAAGGAGAAAAGAGAACAAGACTCAAATCCAAAGAAAGAGAGAGTTATTCTTTTTATATAATTTTTTCATTTTTAGACTGATATCCTATATTCTTGTGTTCTTATTTCATATGTTTATTTTATGTTCCTGTGTGTATTTTATGTTCCTACTCCTATGTTCAATTATACATGTATTTTATATAAAATAAAATATAAATACATAAAAGTAAGTTTTTCATGTGTGTTTATTTTATCTAAATAAATACATTAAAGTATTTCTTTTCACTATTGCATTTCTATCGTCCATTTCATTTTCATTTTCATTATCGACATTATTTAATACAATTTCGTTTTCATTTACTTCATTGTCTTCTACATCTATCTCGCCTCTATTTATCATAAAATTATGCAATATACATGAAGCAACAATCATTTTTTGCCCAAGTTCAAAGTCACCTACATCTAAAAAATAGAGTCTACGAAATTTGCACTTCAAAAGACCGAAAGCTCTTTCTATAATATTGCGTATTTTTGCTAACTTCATGTTATAAACAATTTGTGCTCTTGTCAAATGACCTGTGTCTCGGAATGGCGTCATTACATTTTGCAGCAAAGGATATGCTGCATCTCCAATCAAATGTAAATCCGGTGGTAATAACGGATTTTCTGCATTTGATAGTTGTCGATATAAATTACTGCATCTAAATACGTGGGCATCATGCATGCGTCCTGGCAATCCGACATATATGTTTATAAAACGTGCCTTGTGGTCACATACACCTAATAAAATTACAAGTGTTCTTATATATTTTAAAAGGAATTATTTTATATTACATTACAATAAATAAATAAACAGAAAATTTATATCAAATTTATGTTCAATGATTACCTTGAAAGATAATTGAATGAGATCCTTTCCTATTATAATAATCGTTTGCATTGTGTGGTGGCGCCTTACATGTTATATGACATCCATCGATTGCACCTACAACACCAGGGAACCCACGTGAACGTTGTTCAAAAATCTGAAAATATTTTTTATATAAGAATTGTTATTTTACATTGTGAGCATAAAGTATTTTACAATATTATAAACTTACAATAGATGACGCCCTACAGCTTTGTCTATTTGGCCATACAATAACATTTGGCATTAATTGCACCAATGTATTTACAATATCTTTTACTATATTATGACCGGTACTTTTTGCAAACCCAAATCTATCTCCAGCTGCGAGATAACTTTCCTGCTTAGCTAAGACCCAAATGGTGAATAGGATTTTTTTTCTTAATGGCGCTACATGATTTGGATTTGCTATGACATTGCCAATCATAATTGCTAACTCCTATATCAATATTTATAACAAATATTAAATTATATCTAATTTAACTCTCTCTTCGTCTCATTAATTTCACTCTTCTTAGTAAATAGATTATAAAATAGTAATAGATTATAAAATAGTAATAGATTTACATACTTCTATAGCTCTTGTAGACATTCTAAAATGTTCCTTAAAAACGATGTCATTGTATAATGGAATTATTACTTCATAATAATTTCTATTTTTATTACGAACACCACGTTCTTGAATATGGAAACCATTTGGTAACTGTTCTTGCAATTCCTCTGCTAAATAGCCTACTACATTTCTGTGTACAATATCATCCTCTAATAATGCCAGAATTATTGCATTATATCGATCCATTACTGATTCTTTGTTTACGGCTTAAATTTATCACAAGAAAAAGGTTATGTTCTCGCTCTACCCTTCGCGCATGCACATATTGCATTATCCAATAAATGGTCGTTCAGGAGACATATCTCTGTTCAGTAAGCGCTCACTCAACAGTTGTACAACAGTTGTGTCTTCTGAACGCAGCC